ATGTATTCTTTTTGTATATACTATATAGTTACAATTTGTATATACATATAATGGTCTATTTTGTTTTTTAATGTAATAATAGTAGAAATAATTATAAACAATAAATTTTTAATATCTTTTAATTAATAAATATTTAGCATTTCTTAAATAATAATTAATTTATGTGCAGCTAATTTGTAAAAGTGTTCATATGCATTTAAATACCTAAATTTAAATATATAACTTTATAAAGTTGTAAGGATTTAAATATTAGTATACCATATACGTGTGCATACTTTGAACAAATAAATGTATATATTATATGTACGTCTGTATTAAATTCATATTTAAGAAATACATTTACAAATTTTCTCCTACAATATATATTTCATTGAAATAGCAATGAAAATTCATGATTAATGAAATTAATAAAAAACTATACATCAACTTTATATATTTTAAGAATATTTTAAGAAATTTTTTAAAAATTTTTATCCTCATATGTGTAATGATGTGAGTTATGAACAAATGTTAAATTCTAGAAAAATGGTCGGTTTTGGTTTTGAAAAAGAAAATTATCATCACTTTTATTTCGTGTTTCATAGTATAGAAGCATTTTGAAGTAAAATTAATTTATTAATTAGAGAGAGAGAGACAGAGAGAGAGAGAGAGAGAGAGAGAGAGAGAATAAAGTAAAGATTTTGCTTTTTTAAATGATCTTAGGTATTTTTTTACAATAAAAGTTCAAGGATCTATAATTTTTCAAATTTAATGAAAATTTTATGATCTTTTGCTATCAAGTATAATATTGTTCCTTTTTTTTTTATTTCTAATACATTATTAAAAAGAAAGAATAGTAAAAATTTTTATAAATAGCATAATCTATTTGTGTATATCTGTTCTGATAAAAACTATAATTATTAATATATGTACATAATATTGTAATATTTATATAATATTTAATACTTTAAATATTAATAAGTAAAATTATATGATTATAATTGCCTATATAATTTTATATACGTAATTACAATTATATTTAACTATTATTGTAATGAAATAATGGATGATTACTAATGAAATTTGTTTTTAATAAGAATCATTTATTTTTCATTATAATTTTTATAGAATGATTTATTTTTGCATATTTTTATAATATTCTAGAATAGTTTTAATATTTAATTATACTTTGAAAATAAATTAAATATATATTAAATTTATTCAATTAAAATTATTATAATGGTAATAACTATTATTATAATGGAACATTTTTAAATAATGCACTACATTTTATTCTTTAATATAATTATAGATATAGAATATTAAATTATACATATAGTAAATATAATTAAATAAATATAATTTACAAAAATTCTTGAAATTATATCTACTTAAAATTATTCCTTATGTATAATCAAAGTCGCATTCATTCAATCGGTATGTTTTTGGGGTTTCCAGGTCACCTACATTATACCGCTTAAAATCATTTTCTAACGGTACTTATATTACTTCTTATTACCAAGATAAAAATATTTTGGAAATATTAATTATGAGAATCGGAAGTTTTTTTTTATCTTTATTCAAACAAATATTTTAAATTTTAAATTTTAAATACATGTAATTTTTAATTAATTAATATTTGTAAAAATTTGTTTATAAAATTATTATAAAAAGGAAATATTTTCATTTTTCAATTTATAAAGAAAAATTAAATTGGAATTAATAGAGTAAAATTATTAAATAAAATTAAAAGCATATTATGTAATAATAATTATATTACAGAAGAATATTTAGAAAATGTTCGGAAATGTTTGTAAAATTCAAAATATTCTTATAGTAATTGATATTGTACAATTTATTATTTAGATTAAAAGCTTATATTTTTTCTTGCTTAGATTCTAGAGAATAAGCAATAAAATAAGCTTATTTTTATTAATTTTATTAACATATATATAACACTAATGCATTTTTGCTAATTTTATTAACATATATAGTAATAAATACTAATAAAAATATAATTGTGTTTATATATATAATATTAACAAAAAATATAATATTAACAAATATAATATTAACAAATATTAACAAGATTAATAATTTAAACGATATAATATTAACAAGAATTTAATTATTTAAACGATATATAACATACGTACAATTCGTACGTTCTATTAATATTATATTTTGTATTATTAATATTTATATTTACAATTTTAGTTTTTATAGAACAAAATTTATGCTGGTTATAATTATTTATAATAATTTATATAATAATTATATACTATTTATAATAATTTATAATAATAACAATGAAATATCACTGTTTGTCGATAAATTTACGAATCAGTTTATTAAATTGTTGCATAATTAAAATACTTCATGTTTTGCAAGAATTAATATAGAATCTCAATTAATAAAATAATACTTATTCTATATATTATTCTATAATAAAGAAAGTACATTAAATTATGGTAGGATATCTCTGAAAATACTTATGCAATCGCAAAAGTATTGACACCATGTCCTCATTATATATATATATAGGGGTGCTTCTGAAGAAAGCATCGCAGTTGTTCGAAAGACGCCTATAGGTAAGCATCATTAATTCATTGGAACGAAACAAAATTTCATAGAAAGAAATCTTTAAAAAACATTTTGTTGATCAATCAATTGTAGATTTTTTAATGTAGCGTAAATTAAAGTATTTGTTTATAGATAGTTTAAAATTTTTAGTTATATTTAATTTTAATTAATGATTATATTTCCATTTTTATTAAAACAAAAAGATTAAAAAATATGTATGATTGTAGGAATAATTACTTTCATATTGTAAGATAAAAATATTTATGAAATAATTTAACTAATAATGTTGATTTGCCAAAATTTTATGTAATTGAGTTTCTTACTTTTATTATTAAATTTAGAATTGTTTTATTATGGAATTTAAATTGTTTTAAAAGTACGATTTATTCACAACATAATTATTTTTTCATTTAATTTAATTAGAAATGAAATATTCTTATTAATTCTAATAATTTAAAAAAATATATTTTTTGGAACAAAGTGTGATGTAAAGTGATTAAATGTTAATGTTATTCTTATAAATATTTTTTTTTAATATTGTTGTGATGTTTTAAAAAAGGAATTACATATATGTATTCACAATAAAATATTATAGCACCGATAATGATTTTAACATCTCATATTGTCATATTATTAAAGTAACATTAATGCATTTTGTAAAATCTTATGAATTTTTTACACTGATATATTTCGACATTACTATTATAAATTTTTTTAATACTTCGATGATTATTAACTCATTATATAAGCGACAATGCATGTGTTCGTTCGGTTCTAACGCAAATAAGTATGAAATTATTTTTTCTTTTCTTCTTTTTTTTTTATCGCATCGATTATTAAGCGTTGAGGTCAGAATGGATGGATTCAAGCATTTCTAACTGAGTAATAATACAAACATTCATTGATAAATACAAAATTATAATACACGTATTATATTATGATTATGATGTTATAATTATCACTATAATATTAAATTAAATTATTTAATTAAAAAATTTAAATCGTCCACAATTTTGGTATTAGTTATCGAAAAGATACTTAGACAATTTTTAATTGTAAATATAGTACATTTTGTAACTATATCAAATTATACAGCATATTGAAATTTATTGAATATTATGCAATAGAAGTGCAAGTAAATATATTAAAAATGTGCGAGTTATGGTATATATGATTTCTATATTTATATGTTTGTTTTTATGAAATTAATATATTAATTTATGTTTTAAAATTTTAGTTATAAAAATGATACGATTTGTTATACTTGGTACATTGATTGTTTTATCAATGGCTCAGTTTCAACCTTCTAGAAGGATTTTGGAAGCTCCAATACCTGCGCTTTGTGCACAAAGTAAGTAATAAAGTACGATTTTATATAAATATTTTCATTATATTTTCTGTCAATGTTAATGATAAATCTTTCATATTATATTTCTTGTAAATTTGAATTATGTGACAAATGTTACATAATAATGAAAATCCAATTTTCAATTTTAATTTTTTGCAAATAATAATTGTAAATAAATAATTTTTTGAGAATAATTCCTCCTATTTTATAGAAATAAATTATATCAATTAATGATAAAAAATACGAAAATTTATTAATAAAAATCTTTATTTGTGTATCTACAAAATATATATTTTTAATTATAAAAATATAAAATTTAAGATAACTTCTTCGTGTGTGCGGAAAATACTAACAATAACATTATAATATTGAGACATTATTATATTCTTTCTGGAATGCTCATTCTCATTATGCTATGTACAACTAAACTTTCTTCTTGTTATTTGAGAAAGTAGCTTGTATAATTAACATACCAATCCAACATTTAAGTCGTGACTGAAATACATATTTAAAATCATGAATCACTGGTATAACTTTCTCTTCGGAAGAAACAATGAATAAGGACTTACAAATTTTAAAGTACTTATTTGATCATTTTGATAATTATATTTCAGATTATTAGAAATTAATTATATTTAAAATTATAGATTTATTTTATATATATATCTTTATTATATATTATATATATTATATACAATTAGTATATATCTCTATTATATATTATATATTATATATATATATATACACAATTATTTCTTTGTTTTTTTAAAATTTAGAAATACTTTTCATATTTATTTCGAAGCTATTTAACGTAATAAAGAATATTAGAGTATTTGAATTTTTTCAAATTGTTAATTACAATAAAAATTGTACTTTTTCAAAATTAATATTTTATTATTATTTTAGCAAATACTTAATAAAACAATTTTTTTAGGAATATAGAGATTTCATTAGTATTTTTTATTCTCATTTAAAATATACAATTTTAAAGAAAAATATCCATTAACTTTGGATTTCCGATATATTGGTATTTTAATTATTTAAAATCATTTCTTTTTAAGAAAAATGTTAAACAATTGTAAAATGAATTTTTATAAAAAACCGCAAATTATTTTGATTGTCCAAGAGTTAAAATAATGTTTTAAGTAAATTAGATTTTAATACTGATGATAAAAATATATATTTATTAGGAATATTACATCGATTCAAATAAAAAATTAGATAATTATGTATGTTAGGGATTATTCATGAACGTTTTAATGGCAAGGGTTATTACTACTCATGGGCTGATCCAAGAACGAATGGGCAAGAACTTGATTGGTTAGCAGGTAGAAATTTCTGCAGGCAAAGATGTATGGACCTTGTTTCTCTGGAAACTTCTGCCGAGAACGAATTCATTAAAAGTCGCATTGTTCAAAGTATTGAAATATTTAATATCTAATATATTTGTATAATATATAGTAATAGAATATGCATACAAAAATATCATGCTTTCTAGATAACGTGAAATATATTTGGACATCTGGTCGACTTTGTGATTTCAAAGGGTGCGATAGATCTGATCTTCAACCTCTTCATATTAACGGTTGGTTCTGGACTGCAGAATTACAAAAGCTTGCACCTACTAATGATCGTTCTAATAATGATTGGTCCGAAAGTGGAGGGTAAATATGAACTCATATATTTTCTTTAAAAATCTATCAAAGTGATAATCGTAAATATTAATAATTTCGTTTAGAAAGTAATTAGACTAATTAAACTAATTAGACGTTAGAAATATTGAAGATGTTAGAAGTATTAAAAATAAGAATGTTTACAATATTCAAAAATTAGTTTTTTATATAAAAATAAATAATGAAACTAATATATTAATAGATAGATAAGATACTTCATATATTTAAAAAAAGAAGATGTAGATTTTATACACCTTTTCGTTGCATAGCATCAGAGTAAACATACAAAATCTTCGTATAATATATATATATTTATATACGTAAAAAAGAAAAGTTAGAGACAGAATAATTTTATTAATTATTGTTTAAGTAGATACAGAAATAAAAACTTATTATTTACTTTATTACAATTTTTATTACAATTTTATTTAAGAGAAGAATGGTTCGAGAAAGTGGTAGATAAAAGTGAAATTAACCAAATCATTTTATTGTGAATAGAAAAATATAGTATTAATAAAATTGATAAAATATTAAATACAAATTGTTGTGACATACTGAGAAATCTAAAAGCTTACGAAGAAACAAAATGAACGTATTGGTGTTACATGAGAATGTGTTGCTTTGAATTTTGAAAAGACTGCAATCGTGGAGAAAGCATAAAATTTTACATAGTATATATTATTATTACAATACACTTTTATTCCGATATTGGCTATATATTTTAATGCTATCCTCTATTTGACGACGAGTTTTTTTCTTAAATCATGAAAATAATAACTTCATCTATCAAGGATAGCCGTCTAAAATTTTTTTGCCATTAATTTTTTCGTTTGGTACACGTACGAGCAAATTTCAACTTCGTATATTCATTTTAAAGATGGTGTGTAACATAAAAAATGTATAAAATTTGCATCTTCTTTAATAAATATACGAAATTTATGAATTTACAAAAGCAAATAATGGATATTGTTCCGGAAAGCACCAGTGACTGGATTGATATAAAAGTTTAAATTCAAAATTTTACCTTCGGGTACTTATTAGTTTTTAAGGCAATAAAAAAACATTTTTGATATAATACATTGAATTCTGCCTATATTACTAAATATTACGAAAACACTGCTGTAATAGTCATCTATGACTCTTGTATAGTTGATGACGTGATTGAAAACAATACAGGCCTCAATATCTCGAGTACCCCACATAAAATCGATTATCCACAATATTATACACTGTGGACAAGAGTGAATATATAACATATCTTAATTTCAATTCCTATTTTTTTTATCGAATTATGCAAAAAAATTAAAAAAATAGTGAAATTGAAAAAAAAGTTTAACTATACTGATTGCAAGTGGAATATCCTATGGATATTAAAACTGATATCGCTATCATATCATCGGTTATTTGACAGTCGACCACTATTACAACGAAAACGATTGATTACATTAATTATTCCACAAAATCTATCTTGGGAATTAAAATTTTATATTTAGTTTCTTTTCTCAAAATTTCGAAATTTCATATCAATGGAGAACTGATGTTTTTCTGAATTACAACCCAAATAATTTCTAGAAATTTAATATTATTTAAATCATTATTATTAAACAATGCTACTTTAATATTACGCTGTTTATTATATTTAATAATTTAATAATAATTTCTAGAATAGTGTTCATTTATTTTTATATTTTGTATACGGGTATATATGCGGGAATATATATGTACACGATGGTCCAAATACATGATGGTCACGAATATAGAAAAATACTGAAAAAAAGATCTTTAAGCAATAAAATTTTATAATAATATTTTGTTCGGTTTTATTTTAAGTAAGAAAAATGTAATTAATATATTGAAATTTTACATGAAATTTTCATAAAATGAACAATAGATATACATATAAAAATAAATCTTTAAAGAAAAATTTATAATATGCAGCTCTTCAAATATACATATACACACATATGAACTTTTTTTTATATATTTTACAAGTTTCTATAACTGTTTTCGCTAAGGAAGCTTCATACAGAAAAATTTTAATGATAAAATAAAAATTCTTTTTTACTTTATGAATCAAATGCAATGAAAAATAAATTTCAACTGATTTGTTCAATGTTTTGCTCGATTCCGTTTTTCTTGAACTTTTAGCCGTCTCTAATATAGAAAAAATATTATATAGAAAAAAATTAATATTTTATTAAGAAAGGAGCTAGCAGAAAGATTTTGAAAGCAGATTTGCAATAATTAACAAGTTTGCTTTTAAAAGCAGACATAAACTATATTATATTGAATTCACTTGCAAAAAACAAACAATTCATTGAATGAATTATGCAAAAAATCCATGATAATAACAACAAATATATTACAAATTTATCTGTAAAGATCACAAAAGAAAATATTCTATATATATAGTATATAATAAAAGATATGCACTTATTTTATAAATATATTTGTAATATATTTATATTTTTTACATTTCATATTAGAGTTAAATCTAAAATATTTGTAATGAGTGTTCAAATTTGGATCATAACGACCTGGTATGATATGTTACTTGTTCTGTAATTGTTTTTCGTTGGCTTTTTCAGTTAAAAGAATAAATTTTCATAACGTGTTAAATTAACAATTAATAAATAATTGTTGCAGTATTGGAAAACCACAACCTGATAATCGTGAAGCTATACAACAAGGAGGTGCACCAGAGAATTGTTTAGCAGTACTAAATCAGTTTTATAAAGATGGAGTAAATTGGCATGATGTTGCTTGTCATCATAAAAAACCATGGGTGTGTGAAGATAATGATTCATTATTGAGATATGTTCATTTTGCCAGTCCTAATATTCGTATTTGAAATAGCTTTACTGTATATTATATAATTATAATTACTTAATACTTGTTATGTATACTTATTATGTTTATTACAAATTTATTAATATATTGAAGCTATCTCAAAAGTAATAAAATATTTCTTTTCTGATACATTTTAAGGAGAATTTTATATTTAAAAAAAAGGGAAAGTAAAATATACTTTACACATGGCTTTTAATAATGGAAATATGGATATTATTTCATTAATATGAAATATATATTATATTTCAATGATTATTTTTTGAAACTATTAATATATATCATAATTTATTTGTTATATACTATAAAAGTACAAATTTTAAGTATATTTATAAATATATAATTTATGTAGATGTTAATTTTAAAATAAAGAAACAATTTTTTTTTGTTTAATATATAAATTGTTATAAGTCAATTATATTATTGTTATAATATTATACTATAAATATATACAAGAAGATAATGTAAAATGATGTGTTATATAAAAATTTATTTAATAAATATTATTTTGTAATAAACATTACTATACAAATTATTGATAATTGCATAAAACTAAATTGGATACAAGCATATTTATATATTAAATGTATAATATTGTTTATAAATTATTCATCTTTTACCTTCTACCATTATAATGTGATAGCCAAATTTGGTTTTAATTGGAGGATCTGTGTAAATTGGAGAACTAATAGAAGAGGTTGGTAATGCAAATGCAGCTTCTTGAAAAGGTCCAACCATAGATCCTCTAGTCATCCATCCAAGATCACCCTTTTTCAAATATTAATTTTCAAAATTACTAGACAGAAATATATTTCTTTGTTTTCAGAAATAATATAAATATATAGATATTGTTTACAGCATTTTTTTCACAAATAATATATAAGAGTAGCATATAAAAACAAATTTTTCATAATCATAGAATGCTACATATTTTTTTATATTCTTCAGACATATGTAATTCAATGATTTTCAAGATTGCATAAATAAAAATAAAAAAAATACATTTTATATTATTATATTTACGAGCATTTCTCATTCATAATGAAAATACACATGTACTATACTCATTATTCTTAATAATATGTTGCTATTTTGTACTTTAAGATGTACATTTTTAACAAAATAAAATACCATTTTGTAATTATACAGTAATCAAAAAATTTTCTAAATAGTATATTTAAAGACAAATAGATTTTAATATATTTAATATTTTAAAGACAATAGAATTTTTCGTATACTGAAGAAATATTCCATTGAGTAAACATTCTATGTACATATGTATAAGATATTTAATTTAATGTTGTTTCTTGAACATCTAAATCGAAACTATTGATAATATTGAAAAATATAAAACATATTTGATTAATGTATTAATATCGATTTCATAAATGAAATTATATTTTTTAATGTAATAGTATTAATGCAGTAATCATTTCTAGTGACAAATATTAGAGGAATGTAAAAATTTTGATAGTTATATGATAATAGAAAGATGTAACAATGTATTTATATTATATTATATATACAAATTACCCCAGATCTTGCTTTGTCTTCACTATATGTAGTAGCAACTTCGTTAAATTTCTCCCCGGCTTTCAATTTTTCCAAAGCTTCCAAAATTTTTGATTGTTTTTCACATAATATATGTCTAACCTATATGATTAAACAATTTAAAAAAAAGTTTAATAAAAAATAAATTTTATATCGTTTTAACATAAAATGTCACATATATAGTCAAAAATATTTTAATAATTTGATATAAATATAAAAGACTTACTTTCACAGCATTTCCTCCTTTCTTTTCTTCTTTTCCAGTTTCTACAGCTTTTGATTTACTTGCTTTTGAAGTATTTGTATTTTTTTTTGGAGGCATACTTGAATTTTTTATTTGGATGAATTATTTTATGAAAATAATTTAATCTAACCACACATTAGTTACCTATACATTAGTAAACATTAGTTAAAATATCGTAGTTTGTAATGAAAATCAAGTTAAATGTAAAATGTAAATAATTATGTCATTCATAGTGCTTATAGTGTAGTCTGACGTTATAACCTAAGCTCCCTCTTACTGCGAATTTTAAAAACTAACCGAATGAACTTCAGCTTGACGCGCCAAATATGAATTGCAACATATAAGTTAATATATAGTTTATCGATTAATTCATTAATTGATTAAATGTCGAAATTAAATATTTGAATTAAATAATTGATTCTGGTTATTATTCAAATGATCACCAAAATATTAAATATATATGTATTCCGATTAATTTTAACTTAATAAAATATAGATATTTTAATATTTTACGTTTTCTCTAATTGAATATTTAGCATTTTTAAGAAATTTTAAATAACAAAAAAACGAGAATTAAAAATTCATTCTGTTATCAATCTAAAAATTCTGATATGCTTTAAATCCTTAGTAATGTAAAGTTAAACCCAGAGTTTATTTTCCAATTTACTTATATTCATAAATATAAATAAATTGGAATATAATTTAATTAATTAATCATTAACCTATGATTACGAGTAAAACGCTCCACAAGCAACAATTCAAGCCCAATTAGATACGCAATAGATATAATTAGATTAATTTGTATATTTTTCATAATTTTGAATTATATTTTATGATATTGACATTATTCTTATGATAATATATAGTATAAAAATTAATAAGTTTTCATGTTATATTTTATGTGTGTGTGTGTGTGTGTTTCCAAAATGATTGCAATATATTACTTGTACAACCTTAAGCAAAATGACCCTTCAAAGATTTCTGATCTTTATTTTGCTCAATGAATGTTATTGATATTTTGTAGTTTTGTTAGTGTTCTTCAAATTTCTTTTTTCCATTTTTTTCCTTTAAATATATAGAAATGTTTATGTTCCTTTTGCATGATACTTTTATGGCCAATTGATTATTCAGTATCTTTAGTATTGATTCTTTATTGTTATCATTATATCTTCACCATTTCGTTAAGATTGTGAAAGCAACGATGTAGTGTTGTCTTGTGTTTAGTTAATTTATTTTGAAGTCTCTTATGATTATTGTACCTGAGTTTTGTCTGATGTTAGTTGTCTGATTTGGTGAATATGTTCCATTGTTTCATGGTTAGATTGTAGGTTGAAATTTTATACATCAAGTATATTTTTTTATTGTTGTTATTGATTGTTATTGTTTCAATCTTGTCCTTAATCATTAAAGTTTAATGCATTCGACATCTTGTCTTTTGTAGTTAATGTTGTTTCTGATGATAGGCATAGTCAAGACACTTCTCTTGCTTTTGGTCAATTTTCTATTTTTTCTAATTGTATTGTAGTTTTAGATTTGATAGTTGTATTTGTGAGAACTATGATTTGGTTGAACCATAATTTTCTATTTTTTCTAATTGTATTGTTTTAGATTTGATAGTTGTATTTTTGAGGACCATGTTTTGGTTATTGCTATTATGTCACATTCTTATGTAGGATTGGGAATTCTGGGAAAGGGCCCGGAACTTTCTCGTACCCAAGACGAGACACAATAGCCGCCATGTGGAGTGAAGGCTAGGCCTGTGATATTTGTTTTAGCTGCTCAGACCTAGAACTCAAAATCATTAAAAGTACAAATGTTTGTGTGGATGAGAGAGAATAACGAAGGCTTTAAAGAAGCAGATCAAAAAGAGATTCGACAGAATTGTGAGTGCGAGCGAATAGAGAGCAGCAATCTTTTTCCTTACCGCAGCACTAAGATTATATTTCTGTCAGTCCATATTATAATAAACTGTATTTTCCTACTTTATTTAAAAACAACGCAGGAATAAAACATTCTTATATTTTATTCATACATATATGTCTATCTGACATATATCATATCCTTTTCATTTCAGCCATTTTATTTTTTATGCTTTTTGCATTTAAAAGTGCAATTTTGGTCTGTTTTTGTTTTTGCATTTTAATATGCATTTATTGTTTTGTGTATATATTTGGTTTGTCAGTGTTTTCTTTTTTCTTTCTTTCTTTTTCTTCTTTTTTTTCTTTTCTCTCTTTTTTATTTTTATTGGATTTCTTATGGATGTGGAAGGGAAGGAGACCTTTCTTGATTTTTCTATTTCTTCAACTTTGTTAAATCATTATTTCTTCTTCTAGAACTTCTCTTCTAATAGGAAAGAATTTTTTTCAAAGTTATTTTTGCAACATTTCAAAGTGAAAGTGATTGAATAATATTTTTGTTGATATTCTTATGGAGCATAACAATTAAAGTTTAATTACCTGAATTTCATTCCAATCATTTAATCTAGAGAATTTTTTTCAGAACGAAACGTTTATTAAAGGGATTGAATTTCACGTTAAAAT